ATACTGTTCTAAAGGATTTACATATATTAGATCCCTTGTCTCCTATTACATGAAATTTTTATCCCAATTTTTCAAAAGGAGAAACTAAGTTACCTAGTGATTAATTAACTTGCTCAGAGTTGTATATTGGTAAGTTATGGATCTGGGATTCAAACCCAAGCCCATTCAGAGTCCATTCTTCTAACCACCAAGCTTTATTGCCAGCTGTGTGAAGTCACTGTGATAAATGCTGGCGATACATTTGAAATGGTTCTTGATCTTATGGAACTTAACATATTTATATTTATAAATATATTTATAATTTTCTATACTTTATATATATACACACACACACAACATGTAATGTGAGAAAACACCATTTATCTATCTGTCTATCTATCTATCTTATCTATCTGGCTGTGCCAGGTTTTAGTCTCGGCACCTGGGATCTTCATTGCCACGTGTGAGATCTTTTAGTTGCGGCATGCAGGATCTAGTTCCCTGATCGGGGGTCGAACCCGGGCCCCTTGCATTGGGAGCGTGGAGTCTTAACCACTGGACCACCAGGGAAGTCCCAACACTATATATAGTTAACGAACCCTGTTTATAATTAGAATATTACCATGTTATAAATTTCAACATTACTGACTTATTGCCATCATATGGATGTGCCATGATTTAATTATTCCTGTGTTGTTGGAAATTACCAGTCCTTGCTTGGTAATATTGCAGTGAGCCTCGGAATGCATTCATTATTGTCATTTCAGCTTACTATGTGAGGCTGTTTATAAAAGCATAGAAGTTTGAAGTTACTGGCATTTGTTTCTAATTACATTCCTGAAGCTTATGTTTTAGCAGTAGTGCTGATCTTATACCTTAATAATCATTGTGTATTATAAATTCAGTAGTCAAAAACAAAACAAACAAAATTCAGTAGTCAAAAAATGGTGTCCATGTTAAATCATCTTCTTTCAAAGTCTCTGTTGTCCTTGATATTGTTGCAGCATGTATAAGCCATTTCTAAATAATTTCTTCAAATCACTCGAATATTTGTGTGCCTAACATATTTTAGAGCACATGAGACAAGCACTCTATCACGAACGTTCTGTATTTAGCTGTCAGTTGTGTGTCCCAAATGGGGTTTATAACATTTTCACATGCTTAAGTCATTAGTGCCAATTGTGTTCCAGGCTTTGGTGGTTAGATAATAGTTTTACAGAAATGAAAGACAAAAGCGACCCCCTTTGGACACAGCATAGTGAAGGAGGCCGTAACAACTGTCATGAAAATGTATTTGTCTCTTCCAAAAGAAATGAAATGTTTTGTAGACAATTGGTTTTTTTTTTTTGCATAGGGTTTTAATACACATTAATTTTGCAATTAAATTATGTAGTTGGGGGACTTCCCTGGTGGCACAGTGGTTAAGACTCTGCCTGCCAATGCAGGGGACACGGGTTCCAAATCTGGTCCGGGAAGATCCTGCATGCTGCGGAGCAACTAAGCCCTTGCACCACAACTGCTGAGCCTGTGTTCTAAAGCCCGCGAGCCACAACTACTGAGCCCAGGCACCACAACTACTACTGAAGCCCGCGTGCCTAGAGCCCATGCTCCGCAATAAGAGAAGCCACCACAATGAGAAGGCTGCAGACTGCAACGAAGAGTAGCCTCTGCTCGCCGCAACTAGAGAAAGCCCGTGCGCAGCAATGAAGACTGAACGCAGCCAAACATAAGTAAATAAAAAATAAATAAATTTATTAAAAAAACGTTTGAGTTGGGCATCAGAATTTCTTGGTTTTTTTCCGGCTGCATTGGGTCTTTGTTGCTGCGCGTGGGCTTTCTCTAGTTGCAGCGAGCAGGGGCTACCCTTCGTTTTGGCACTCGGGCTTCTCATTGCGGTGGCTTCTCTTGTGGTGGAGCACGGGCTCTAGGCACGGGGCTTCAGTAGTTGCAGCACGCGGGCTTCAGTAGTTGCAGTGCGTGGGCTTCAGTAGTTGTGGCGTGTAGGCTCAGAAGTTGTGGCTTGTGGGCTCTGGCGCTCAGGCTCAGTAGTTGTGGTGCACGGGCTTAGTTGCTCCACAGCATGTGGGATCTTCCCAGACCAGGGATCAAACCCATGTCCCCTGCATTGTGAGGTGGATTCTTAACCACTGTGCCACCAGGGAAGTCCCTGATGAAGATTTGTTAAATGACTAATTTCTTCCTGTAACAGTTTTGAACCCTTAAATACGGTAATTCTGCATAATTTTGTTTCAGCATTTTAAAAAATGGTTTCTTTGAGTCATCTAACTTGTTTCCAAAAACACTGGTATAGTAGTTCTATTGATCACTTCTGCAGGCAGTTTTGGAATGCAATGTGAGTGCTGGTTTCTATTCAAATTTGAAGTTGCTTAGGAGTTTCCTGTCCTTAATTTGGGGAATTTTTCCAGTGCCTTTTGTTACTCTTAGTTTAACATGGTTTGAAGCATTGTAGAGAGCTGACCACCTGCGCGCACTCTCTATCTCTCTCTCTTTCTCTCTTTTTTAATTACTGATAATCTGACTGAATAGCCTCATCTCCCTCACCGAATAAATGGTTTGCTTTCCATGTGGCTAAGACTGGTAGCAGCAGTCCATGGGGAAACATGGTAGTGCACCCTCTTAAGGAAAATAACTTTTATGCTTATTTTTGTTTCGTCAACTAAAATTTATATTGATAACTATCATGATTTACAAGTCAGCTTTAAAAGATCTTCAAGTGCATAACTTCATGAAAAAACTGGATCTTATTTGTAAGAATCAAATGAACTTTCTGATTTGAGTTATTAAATATGATTCTAAACCTTCTTAGTGGCTTTAGTGAATGTGCATATAGTCTCTTATTAAACCACAGCTAAAAAATCTGTTTATATACACTGACTACATTTTGAGTCAGCAGCATTTATAAAATTAGATTATTGTTAGATCAGCCAGGTTGAAAAATAAAACAAGTTTGGATTTGTTTTCTTCTGATTGCTTCTGGGAGATAGATTGGCAAAGCAACGTGAGTGTGAGTTTTAGAGTTGGACATATGAGACGGAATATCTGACCAACCTCTTTCAGTCTCAGATGCATTATGTTGAACAGATTAGTGCTTAAATGTCTATGAGCCTCAATCTCCTCACCTGTAAAAGGAGGCAGCTAGTCAGTCTTATGAGTGGTAAATCAGGATGCAATAAAATACCATTAAGTCCCTAGCATGATTCTTGGCATATTGTCAACAAATGTTAGCCCCAGTACCACCTCCTTCCTCCAGCAATATTTTACAACAATGTTGCATAGAACAAGTGTTGAATTCCAGCTAGAGGGTCTAGATTGAAGGCCTAGTTCTTTTCTCATATTGCGTGTTTTCTTTGGTCAGTCACTTGACCACAGAGTGTCAGTTTTCTCCTCTGTAAAATGGCGTTATGAAAAATTAAATGAGATAATGAGTAAGTGTTACAGACCTAGGCTTTTATTCTTTCCTTTATTATCTAATGTATTTATATCTTGCCTTGTTTCCCAGTGATTAACATCATTCTTTATGTGCAAGGGAGGAACTGTACTTCAGGAACATTAACCTGATAGTCCAGAGTTTATTTGGAGGAACAGAGTGTAGGAAACATGGAGGAACAGAGTGTAGGAAACAATGTGTGTTTCCTCCCAGGAGGTTGTAACACATATAGAGCCTTTGAAAGGTTTTAAGCTGGAGGGGGAAGGGTCGGGGGTTGCACTAAAGCGGTAAAATGATCAATTTTAAAGATGGTTGTGGCTACAGTGATTTCATTGGACCAGGGCCCTTGTTTCTGTTCTTCATTAGTATTTTCCCAGTTATGCCACTATTACCAGCTTTCTGAAGAGTGACCTACATTTTGTAATCTATATTCCCTACAACCTGCAACAAATCTAAATCTCAGGAATATGTAATTTTTCTGACAGTGGACCTGAAAAGTTTTCATCAGTTGAATCTACCCTTTCAAATAGGAAATAATTTCTCTTTCTCTTTAGCACGTACTTTTTAGATCTAGCTGGGAAGCTTTGTTGTCTGCCATTCCTTGTATATTAACCTTTGCACGAGCTGTCCCACAAACCCAGAGTATAACAAACCTCTCCCAGCTACTTTCTTTCCTTGGAAGCCCCTTTTATTGCTTGCTTTTGTTAAAAGTTTCCTATCAGTCATCCTAAAGTAATGTTAACTGCTTTATGACATAAATGTATGTGTATTACTGATAATTTATCAGTTTTACTTCCTTTGTGTAGGTTGAGTATTCTTTCTTGTAACTATAGAGTGCCAAACTTGAAGCAGAAGTAGAGTGAGTTCTTAGATTTAAAATGTGATACATAGACTTCTTACTGTATCATTTAAGTAATGAAGTGTTTTTAATGTTTTTATGTAAGAAAGGTGGAGTGGGGTGAGGAGGAAGGAGGAATCAGGTAACCTGTCAAGGCAATCACAGAGAAGCACTAAAACCTGATAGTTAGCCATGGATCTGTTCATTTATCTGCATGCTCTTCATAGAAGTAAGCTTTAGAAACTGTAACTTCTAACAGTTTAATAACTTCCATGGAATTAAAATGATTCAGTAATATTAACACCAGAAGGGGCATTGTTTGAAGGAATCCCTGTTGTGTCTATTAATGAGTTCCCTTTTATGCAGGTGTGTGGGTGATTTCCAGCTCTCATTCAACACAGAATATAATAGTTGGTCAGAGGTGAACCTGGCACCTACCAAGTATTCAGACCTGTCTTTTAGGTTATTTTCATTCCTTGAGAAGAAAACTGAAGAATCAGTTGGGGTAAAGAGATTTGTGGGCTTTGGATAGATCTCTATAAAGCAAGGGCTGTCACTCTGACCACTAAGCATGTACCCCTCCTCATTCACATCAGGGTCATATTAAAAATGTTACGTGGTAGTAGCAGTAGCTGCTTTGTTTTTCTTAGCCGTGGCAGCAGTTAACACAGTGCACTCACTAGTGGCTTAACATACCAACACTTAAGTCCTTATTTTTTGTTTTTGTTTTTAAGTCATTGAAATTATGAAACTGTCATTCCAATGGAAGCATTATAGTTCTTCGGAACCATTATGATCTCAAAAGGAAAGGAGAATGATACAGATACACTGGCTGAGGTGTTTTGAGGTGCATCGAAGTGTTCCAGCCTGTGGCTTACCTTAACATGTTCTTGAAGTACCATGGCGTGGATTAAAAGGTATGCTTTAGAAATCTTCCAGTGGCCCCAAGGTCATGCGTAGAGTGAACGCTCATGGTTCTATATTTAATTATTGCATATTTTAAGATATTTTAATATTTAGATTGCAGATGTAGTTAAGGAGTTATGGCAAAAGTGTTTTTTGTTGTGAAAAAACCATGTATCACAAGCTTGTTGAGTGATTCCCCCCCCCCCTTTGAGATATGGTTATAGGAGACACTAGGGTAGATATTTTTGCTAGATTTTAATAGTAATGGGCTATAGTTTCTTTCACGAAATAGTTTAGTGATTATTCATATGTTAGTCTGTAATTATCTTCCTGGTTTACATCATAGACTAGTTTCTCTGTAGTGCTGTCATTTCATGGTAGCCTGAACAGGAAATAATTGGACACAGTTCTTCAGTTGGAGTATTAATTTGACCAAATGAAATAATTTTTACTTGGACCATTTATAGTTTGTGCTTGTTTTTGTCTTTTACAAAGAATTTTTACTGAGAGGAAAATGAGTAATTCTTTACTAATACTGTGATTGTTGTCTCTTCACCACCATATGTATACAGTTAATCTTTCATGTGTTTGTGGTATGTAGTCCCACTGTTACTTGTGGTTGCTAGTAGTGGTAATTCTAGGCTTCATACTACCCACTTAACCATCAAAAATCTTTAAGGTTTTTATGTTCATAACATTTTATTTGAGTGATGTAGTCAAAACCATTTCTTAATTATTGGAAACCTTGGAAACCTAATTTTGTACTGTTTGCTTGCTACAGGATGTTTTCTTGGGATAGTGGAAGTGAATCAACCCAGGGAGAATGCTGAGTTCATAATGTTACATCGGGTTCAAAATTCTTTATCTTTTAGGTAATGAAGGAAAACATTTTGGGAAGATAGATGTTTAAATCATGGATATATAAATGTAATAGAAATACGTTGGTGCAGCCTGTAATTTTTATTATTTAGTCTACCTTATGTTAAGATCCTGTTGACATGTCAGCAGTTAAATTATTAATGGAATTTAGTTATTACACCTAAGACAAAACTGCTTTATATTAAATTCTGGTCTATAATGACAGTGAATCAGGTTTCAAGGTGAAGTCAGCTGCCTGTTAACCAAGTTCAACCAGGTATTTTATGTCCAATACAACAGTGTCTACTCTCCAAAAAGATCATTTCTTTGGTTGGAGCTGGTATTTGATACATTGTTTACAAAATATATTTCTCCATAATGTTTGCCACTTCAACTTAAAAAAAAAAATCTCTTTTTAGGGTAGTACTTGGGCATCTGTTTGTTTTGTTTTAATGCCACAGAGGTTTCTTGATGCACAGCCAGATTTGGGAACTCCTTTCTCTTTGGAAGAGTTTATAGCTTAGTGGTTAAGAGCTTAGATTCTGCGGCCAGCTGATCTGTGTTTCAAATCTGGCACTACTTTTTTTGTTTTGACAGGTTGAAAGAATGATCTGTAAAAAAAATAAACTTGTGTATTAAAAATATAATACCATAATTATATATTGCATTATATATGTGTGTGTATGTATATATACACATATATATGTGTACATATATACACATACATATATATAAATAAATTCCATACACATTTAGTGTAGGATTGAGCGTGCTAGAAGCCAGTGCTAGATTAACAGTGATGATGATTATTTTTATTTATTTATTTTTAAATTTATTTTATTTTATTTATTTTTGGCTGCGTTAGGTCTTTGTTGCTGCCCGCGGGCTTTCTCTAGTTGCGGCGAGTGACTCTTCGTTGTGGTGCGCGAGCTTCTCATTGCGGTGGCTTCTCTTGTTGCAGAGCACGGGCTCTAGGCGCGTGGGCTCTAGAGCAGAGGCTCAGTTGTGGCTCGTGGGCTCTAGAGCAGAGGCTCAGTAGTTGTGGCGCACGGGCTTAGTTGCTCCGCAGCATGTGGGAACTTCCTGGACCAGGGCTCGAACCCATGTCCCTCTCATTGGCAGGTGGATTCCCAACCACTGCGCCACCAGGGCAGCCCGATGATGATTATTAAATGCCAGATCAGGAACCTCTTTTCTGCGGGGTGAGATGCTATTACATTTATTTCTTTTCCTGAATTTTATACTTTCTTCTGTGATCTTCCTAGAGTTAAATAAACAATCACTCTTTGACTAATGTTTTCAATTCTTTGAGCTTTTTCTCATCAGTGAAAGAAGGTGGCCACTAGAGACTGGTAATTTATCTCTGGTCCTCTTATCCTGCTAGGTCGATTTGTGTGTCCTTTAAAGCTGTGTTTTTCAAATTGCAGGTTTCAGCCCATTCATTAGTGGGTCAAGAACTCGATTTAGTTGGTTAAGAACTCGATTTAGTGGGGGTTATGATCAGCATTAAGACATGTATTGTAATAGAAAATAAAATCAGTGCAGTGAATGTAGAAAAGAGCATTTTTTAAAGAAACTTGTTTCATTTTTTTTTTAAAGCTGAAATAAACAAGATATATGCACATTTATGTGTATGTTGCTTGGATCATTTTGGTTCCACTCAGTGTATGCCTCCCATAGTCAACAGATGTCCCTGAGATGTGGTATTAGGTTTATATTGTTTTTCCTTGCTGAGAAAAAGTGACCAGGATAGGTTCCAGTCTGTGGCTTCTAATGGTATGCCATACTCTCTATATCATCTTCAAGGATCTTCCTACAGTGCTTTGCGTTTGAAGTGAAGTTTATTACAGGAGAATATCTAAGGAGCAGGGAGAAAAGGGGAACAGAATAGCAGCAGCTGATGAGTGGCATTAACTAAGGATATTTTATCAAGTAGAGTAATCTAGTAAACTGCCCCATGGCATGCATTCTGTTAATGTGTTAATCAACTCATAGATCAGTGGTTTTCAAACTGCCAGTGGTAGCCCATTCTGGAGTCAATTCAATAAGTTCCTACCCCCCCTACTCCCCCCCCACCCTGCAAATTATATGAAGCAGAAAAGAACAGAATAGGAAATGTCATGAATGGGTCATATGATATAGTTCTGTAAAACTCTTGTTTTGAGGGTATGTATGTGTACTGTATTGCAGACCTAAGTTCTGATAATCATCATCTGGGAAACTGTATGGTACTCAGTCTTAAATCCATATTGCCAAACTGACCTCTGCCAGAGAAGACTTCAGATATCTAAAACAGGATTGTTAGCTCAGTAGTTTTCTCTCTGACAGTAGGAAACAGTTAGCTATGAAACCTTGTTTTTGTTTTTTGTTGTGTTATTTGGGGTGTGTGTGTGTGTTTTCTTGCTTGCTTGCCCTCGTAAATATTTAAAGGCTCATAGGTAAGAAATTTATAATATTTCCTAGTTGTGAAGGAATTTACTCCTTCTTTGCATTGATGAAAATGACCCATGCAATTAAAAAGTACCAAAAAACTGATGATACATACTAAAATCCACCCACTTCATTTTCCCATTCCTTATATCTTAGGACTTTTTCATATACCAGGTACTTTTTTACTTCAGAAGGTAAATATAAAATTTTAATGTTGCCAAAAAAATTAACCTTAAATTAGATATGTCACAAATATTTAAGGTAGTCAAATGTTGGAACTTCTGTTTTTGTGAGGATTTTGATAATATTTAAAATTTTATTTTTCTTGGATTAGTGCCTCTGCCTATTCCAGTGTCCTCATAACAGCAGATATTTGCTTTACAGGTATATTGAAGATGATCACAGAGTTTCTGGTGAATATTTTTTAAAAAATAAAGCTTCAGAGTAGTACAGTATCAGCATATTCATGTTTTAAGATTGTGTTTGAAACACAGTTTCCTCCTTCCTAGAAAACAATACGAGAATGAAGATTTCTGGTAAATTGTTTCACAACAATGGAATTTGTACATTAGTTTTCTACACTTGGGAGTTGAACAGTGGATAAAATCTCTGCCAAAATAAGAGGCCAAAAGATAATAAGTACAATTCATGTTTCTCTGCAAGTTCTTGGAAATTGAGTCAAAAACATATATAGTTCCTGCTCTGAATTGGGTATGATGTATTAAACCTAGAAATTATCTTTTGGAATTACAGAAGATAGGTAAAGAAATCCCACCTCCCTCCTGCCCCGTGGGTTAACTGCCTTCATGATGGTGGCTTGTCTTTGCGTCAGTGCATAAAGACATACTGTTGCTAGTGATGCGGGCAGGGAACAAGAACCTGTGGATTCAGAGAATGGGAGAGTTGAATCCCTTTTTTCTATTACTGTTTCCCCAAGTTTCCCCCCCACCCCCACCCCAACCTGGTCTTCTCCCAGACTGTCCAACCTTTTCTCCTCTTATCAGTAGCATTGCTTAGCTTTTCATCATTATTTCAGTCATATTTACTTCCAACGTCATCACTTTCTGCTTCATGCTGCTTATCCTGTTGAGTGCAAGGTTTCATGTTGTCACCTTGTGGCATTTGTTTGTGCACAACCGTGTTCCTTTTACTTGGTTATCATAATGCACAAGAGCAGGTTGTCATCTTTTTCTTTCAAAGATTTGTCCTCCTAAAGCGTAGTTTATTTTTTTATTTAAAAAAATATTTATTGATTTATTTGGCTGTGCCGGGTCTTAGTTGTGGCAGGCAGGATCTTAGTTGTTGGGAGTGGGATCTTTTGTTAGTTGCAGCATGCGGGATCTTTAGTTGTGGCACGTGGGGTCTAGTTCCCTGACCAGGGATTGAACCTGGGCCCCCTGCCCTGGGAGCATGGAGTCTTAGCCACTGGACCACCAGGGAAGTCCCTGAAGTGTAGTTTAGGAAGAAACTAAACTACCTTCTAGTTTAGTTGGCCAAGAACTGAGAGAACTGACCGGAGGCAGCACCCCAACCGCAGGTCTAGGATTAGAAGAAAGAGCATGTTACAAATTACTGGGTCAGCTGTTAGATATGGCTCCAGTATACTTTTGGTTACTGAAAACAAGTCAAAAGCACTCTCTAAGAATGAAGGTTAGATTCTTTGAGAGTATTTAAAGAGATGTTTTAGTGCTTCCTGGGTGGCGCAGTGGTTGAGAGTCCGCCT